GACATTTGTTTGTATCTCCTAATGAAGGTGGTGATGATTCTTACATATTTCTCTGTACCTGCTCTAATTCCTATATTTGTCTATGCTATTTTTTTGGGGGGAACTGAGGCATAGTTGTTGTTGTCTATGATACTGGCGTATAAATAAAGAACAAGAAAAACATATTCTTTTCTTTGTATAGGTCAAGAAAAAGAGATTACTTGTAATAGTACAATTCTCACAAACCTAACTTCTACAAGCTTCTTCTGAGATTATTATTATTATTAGGTTGAACCCATCGGTAGCCACCTAAAGTTGACATCAATTTTCACTTGGACACCTCAAGTAGGCCTTATTCATTTTAAACACCTTAAGTAGGGGGCCGCTGTGTCATATTGACACTTTTTTGACAACCAGCCTAATATATAAGATGTGTGTATTACACACGCTGATGACGTGTCAAAGAAGCGAATTAAATAAAGACATGTGGCATATATATAAAAAATAATTATTAAAGAAATATATTATGAATAAAAACCTATTTTAAAACTATTTAATTAGTTACTTTAAAAATTAATTTTCAATAAAGAAGAAAAAGGAAAAAAATCTACAACACCTTTCTTTTTCTCCTCCACCATTTCCACATCTCCTCCTCCTCTAACCACTATTACCTTCTTCTTCAACTTTGAAGATTATCATTACTACCATCTCTCTCTTCAAATCTACCTATTATAATTAATTTGGGTCATAAGCAAATACCCATAATCCAACTATCATACTACCACCATCTCTTCAATCCTTCAAATTTAGGGATGGCAATGGGGCGGGGCGGTTACAGGGCAAACCCGCGAAGAGTTTAACCCGCCCCGCATAACAAAAATTCTCATTTTCAACCCGCCCCGCTCCGCCTTGCATAGACCTGCCCCACATGATTTTTTTATTTTTCAAAAACTGAATTTGATATTAAATATAAAATTCACATTTTTTTTATTTTTTCGATAAGCAATATTCATTTAGTATCAATATTCCCATCACTTCAAAATTTTGGTAAAAGAAATTGCTTCAGCAGAAGAAAACACTATCCAACATAAGCATTCAATATCCCAAAAAAAAAAAAAGATTTAGCACTCCTTGAAAATCCAGCAAATGTTGATAATTATATATTGTATAGGATCCAAAAAAAAATCAATATTCTGCTATTTCCTTTCTGTAGATTTACATGATACGCAACACATATTTGAACTTCTAAAATTAAAGGAAAATGGACATTTGAGATACCAATAAAAGAAAAAAAAGGAAAATGACAAACATATAAAGGAAAAGTAAATAAAATTTCGCTACGCTTCTACACTCAAATTATCTACTGATTTCATAGGTAAATATTCATAATTTCATATCTAATGTTAGTTAACCCCCCTCGCATCCGCACTAAATTTCTTTTGAAAAAAATCAACCCGCCCTGCTCCACCCCGCACCCACATAAAGACCACCCCGCCTTGCCCCGCATAAGGCAAAACCTCACCTGCCCCGCATTTGCCCCGCCCCATTGCCATCCCTATTCAAATTTATCATTTTTTTTTCTCCAATCACCTCCACTATTGGAACTGCTCGTTTTGAAAGTTTCGAAGTACCCAAAAAAAATTGATCCATGATGAAATCAGATCTATTTATGAATTTACTTGAAATGGGTTCATCAAAATAGAAAAGTTAAAAGCTTTGAGAAGTAGAAAATTAGTGTTTCAAAAATTGAATTTGGAAAGAAATAACTTAAATAGAGAAAGGTGAAAATAGACCAACGAGCATTTGAAGGATTCAACGAACTTTCCGACAATGAAACTATGGAAAAATTAGGTGGAGAAATTTGATATCATGAAGAAGATATATGATGTAGACATATTTTGGTCCTTTCTTAAATTATTTTTGTTGATATATACAATGACAAGAGAGGAGAAAGTTAATATACAATGGTGGCAACGTGGTGGCAACGTGGTGGTAGATGGTGGAGGAAGTTTGGGGAAGGAGAGAAAGAAAGAAAAAGAAATTAAAAAATTAAAAAAATTAAAAAATCACAAAAATTAAGCCTTTCATGCGCTCAAAGCAAGTGCAGCACACATAATATGTCAACTCAGCAAAAAGTGTCAAATTGACATAATAGGACCCTACTTAAAGTGTTTAAAATAAACATCGTCCAATTGAGGTGCCCAAGTGAAATTTGGTGTCAACTTTAGGGGGGCTACTGATGGGATAAGCCTTATTATTACTATTATTTTTATTGGTATTATTTAACAAATAGAAAGACAAGCACTAATCTAGTGTAGGAAGCTTTTATTAGGAAATGTTATTAGCCCTAATTGAACTGCAGAGCCTAAAGAGAGGAAAGTTTGTTTAACTTGTTTCAATTTTCAATATGCTAAGACAAAACATACTATTCCGGTCAACGGAAACATAACGAAAGTAAGATTACTCTGTAATAAACTTACCCTCCAAAGAAATAAAGGGGTATATTTCGCAATCTCCTCATTTGGACTCACGAGAAAAAAGATGATATAGTTTCTTGTAGACAAAACATACAATTCAGCCGTCAAATGAAATTCAGAAACCTAGGTAGGCTTGACAATTTGAAACAAGCAGTTCAAGAGTAATGAGTATCTAGTCTCCTAGATCAAACAATCACCCCTAATCACGAATCATCTACAATTTCTAGGAGACAAGATGTACAATTCAGCTGTCAAATAAAATTCGAAATCCCAGATAGTCTGTGAATTCAGCAAACAAATTCTCAAGTATCTATTGTTAAATCAATCAAACAACTACACCTCAATCCCAATTTCGCTACATTAATCCTCAATTCCCAATCTGTTCTATTCGAGTCCATTTCATAAGCAAACCAAAATAAATAGTATCTCTTTTTAAGGCAAATTAACTCCAATTTCCTTATATTAATCCTCAAATCCCTTCTACTCTATTCGAGTCCCTTGCATTCCCAAACTAAAAAGTACAATCTTTTTCAAGGCAAATAAACTCCAAATTCCTTATGTTAATCCTCTATATCCCTTCTGCTCTGTTCGATTCCCTTTAATTCATTCCCAAACTAAAAAAAATACAATCTTTTTAGGCAAATTAACCCCAAGTTCCTTATATAAATCCTCTATATCCCTTCTGCTCTATTTGACTCCCTTTCATTCCCAAACTAAAAATATACAATCTTTTTTTCAAGGCAAATTATCCCCAAATTCCTTATATTAATCCTCTATATCCCTTCTGCTCTATTCGAGTCCCTTTCATTGCCAAATTGAAAAAAAATACGATCTTTTTAAGGCAAATTAAGGATTATCTAAACCCCACATATATTTCCCAATTGATTCGACATTTGCTTCAACTATTCAATTGCTGCCTCTTTTTCGAAACCCAATTGGCTGCTTGATCCTTTCATCGCTGCGATTATCGCTACGACCACTGCATTGTTACCCATTTCCCCAATCCCATAACTTCACCCTCTCTCTTTCACAATCCCCTTTTTCTCAATAATATGAAATGTTGAGAGTGAACTGAGCTGATCTTTCATTCCGAAACTAAAAAATTACAATCTTTTTAAGGAAAATTAAAGATTATCTAAACCCTACATATATTCCTACAAGTATAACTAATTTACTCCCAGACTCCGATAACATTTGTTCCAAATTTGAAAAAAATAACAGTGAAATCAGTTGATTTTCCATTAGCAAACTAAAAAAATACAATCTTTTAAAGGAAAACTAAAGATTATCTGAACCCCACATATATTCCTACAGTTACAACTAATTTTCTCCCAGACCCAGATCATATTTCTTCCAAATTTGAAAAAAAAAATAACAGTGAAGTCAGCTGATTTTCCATTAAAAATGACAATCTTTTTAAAGAAAAAACTAAATATTATCTAAGCCCCACATATATTCGTACAGAAATAACTAATTTACGCCCAAATTTGAAGAAAAAACAGTGAACTGAGCTGTATCCAAACTAAAAAAGTTACAATCTTTTTAAGAAAAATTAAATCCACATATATTCTTAATTTACTCCTACACCCAGATAACATTTGTTGGAAATTTGAAGAAAAAGTAACAAAACGAAGAAGGATTTACCTGCCGATGGAGAAAGAGAGAGAAGCGCCAAGAATTTTAGCAGAAAAGACGCACAAGACAGCAGGTAAGAAGCCAAAAAGTAGAGAAGCACCAGCTTCAAAGAAGACGGCATAAGGAAGACAAAGAGCTAGTGTAATTGTATGAAGAGCCACATAAGCAGGGATCGCCCAATTTCCTAATCGATCAGACATTAGCTTTAACCATTCAATGGCTGCCTCTTTTTCGAAACCCAACTGGCTGCTTAATCCTTTCATCCATGCCATTATCGCTACTACTACAGCTATCGTTACCCATCTCTTCATACCCATAATTTCACACAACAATCCCCCCTTTTTGCTACTACTACTCTCTCCCCCAAATTGTTTCTTCCTTTTTGTTTAGAGTATTGTTTTTCTTTTCTATGAGGACATCCTTTTCCTACAATACTAATTTAGGTAAAAATGATGCCCTTGGATACCTAACTAGTAGTATTTCCCTTTTATTAATTCACCAATGAGAAACAAAAAAATAATTAAAATCTATGACCATTTCCAACTAAGTTTTTTACCAAACATTTAATATGAATTTGCAATTATACTCCCTACTAGAAGGGGTACTATACCAATTACACCTCACAATTCAAAACTCTTTTTATTCTTTGTCTACTATTTAGGTGATATAATATATGTATTGGATTGATAGGTCTGTCACATAATTTATCCCATGAACAAGACTTGCTCCTTTAATTTCTTTTTAAAAAGTAAAGTTGCACACTGAAAATATGAGAAACCAAAAATCAGATTTGATATCCAAATGAAGATGTCTCTATCCTAATAAAAACGAGCACCTAAAAGATCTTTGGATGATAATTATCATCTTTCACGTTGAATGAATGTTACCAAAATATTGTTAACCCAAGTATTTTTGGGCTCAATTGTTAATATTAAAGGATCTTTTCACTGTTGAAACAACTTAATTGAGTTATCTGTAATACAAGTACAACAAAAAGCAAACAATAAATTTTCCTTGTAGAAGCTAAAACTGATCAAATGTTAAGAACGTCTCAGAGTTCTGCATTCATTTGTATACAATTTAAGAAAACTAGATTAACCAGCCATATGACTAAATCTGAAACAATACATAACTCATCGAGCTGGAAGGCGATGTCTTATGATACCCTGATCCTCGTACAACTCAAAGTTTGCTTTAGTAAATTCATTGCTTGAGAAAAATGCTTTGAGATCAGTCATGCCATAATCAAGTGCCTGCAATGATTTTAGAGAATGGGATGTTCATTAGGCAACGGTTGGGAGGTAACATATCATACTTCAATATCACATAAATAAAGAGGATTTCCAGTATAAATTACCTTGCTTTGTAGCTCCTCAACCTTCACATCAATATGATCTAGGTTGGCAGCAGAACCTGAAACAATTTCCTCAAACTGCAGTGCATCTTTTACAAGCCCACGTAGGAGGTGAAGAATGATAGCATTGAAATCTTTTTTGTATGTCATGTACTTTTTGAAGCTCTGCAGCAAAATTCAAAACCATTTCAAATGTCCATATCGACAACTATTACTGGGGCATATGAATATAATGTGATAATGTCTTATGTAGGCCTAACATGAACTACAAAGAGGTAGAGTGCTGATAGTATTGTATTACCTTTTGCAATGCTTTTTGCACCCCAAATTTCTGGGTTGATATAAATGAATCCAGAAGGACACGAATTGCCATATCCACATCTTCTTGAGTAACATGTTGTCTAAGATGCATCCTTGCATGGGCTTCAGACATCCTTATCATCGATTCAATGTGCCTCACTGCTATGGGAATTCCTTGTCCATGCTGTACATGTAGATGGAACACATTAGACAATGTGTCATTGCTAAAAAGCTTAAGCTACCATACTTTAAATAATTTAAGAAAGAAGCTCCACTGAATGGCAATCTCACCGAAGATTCTCTCCTTAATTCAGCATAAACCTGTGTGAGCTTGTCCAAGTCCGCATCATGTAATTTTGGGAATACGTTCAACTTTGCATAAGTTAAGTACTTCTTTAGCAACTCTTGAGGAATTATCTGTGGGAAAAAGAAACTTATATAGATTTTAAAAAATAAACCATAAAGTTCAAACAAATGGTAAAAAAAATAAGCTGAAAGGGTAACCTCAGGATCAGTTGCAGCCATAGTGGCACGGGCATCATCCCGTGAATCAGTAAATGACTTCTCATCAATAGTAGCACCTTTTGCTTGTGACCTAAAATGACTATCAACAACAAACTTTGCAAGCATCTCATCAGTGACTGGATCAACCACATCCTGCACAAATCCAGTTTCCTTCAGTTTCAAAAGTTGCTGAAGGAAAAGCTAAACCAGATCGACAGGGCTCTAAAAGAATGACATTACCTTGACCACACAGAGTACATCAAATCGAGAAATGATTGGATCTGTCAATTCCACATTTTGCGTGAAATTCTTCGACGAATCATATCTACAAGGATTTAAGAGAAAAGTCACTAAACTGAAGCAGGGAAGAAATGTCAGGAAAAGACAAATTTCATAGCATAAGCAACTCAGAGGAGGAATGACTTCCAGAAAGTATAGTGCTTGATTCTACCAAATTGTATTTGCACATTAAAACTATTGGATTCTGTGAATGTGAGGTAGCAGCTAAAGTGAGGAAATGTTATGGCAATACAACAAAAGCAAATGGAAACCTAAACCTAATGCATAGATAAAGAAAATGTAAAGAAATCCAAGATCTGGTGACCATGAAAGATGTGGAAACCCCAGGCAGCTGTAATAGAGGGATTAAGCTAGATTTCCAAGATAGAGCTGGTAGCCAACTAATAGTAACATTGACTTGGAAGGAAATGTCTACAGTTAGGATCATATCATCCTATTTCTAAAAACATCAAAATTTAGTTCTCCTATACCTTCCTCCAATAGGATTTGCAGCAGCAATAACAGAACAGCGGGCCTGGAGAGATGTGACAATGCCAGCCTTCGATATGCTAATACTCTGCTGTTCCATTGCTTCATGAATACTCACTCTACACAAAACATATAAAAATAAAGAAAGGAAAGAAACAGGAGAATGTTATTATCGAGCAAGCAATGTAGGGAAGACCAGCTAAAAGTGCAGATATCAGACTTGCATACCTATCCTGATCATTCATCTTATCGAACTCATCAATCAAACATATTCCTCTATCAGCCAAAACTAGTGCTCCTCCTTCGAGGGTCCATTCCCGAGTGACAGGGTCCTTGTGTACTGCTGCTGTAAGCCCTACAGCAGATGCTCCTTTTCCAGTTGTATAGACGGCTCGTTGTCCCGTCTTCTCGACATACCTGATAGGGTTGTATGGTGATTACAGCACTCATTGATTCAAAATGAGGTCATTCTAGATTTATACTTACTTGAGGAACTGTGATTTTGCAGTGCCTGGATCACCTAGCAGGAGAATATTTATGTCTCCTCTCAGTCTGTGTTTCCCTTCAACATTTTTCTCTTGTCCCCCAAACATTGCAAGAGCTATGGCAGTCTTTATGTCTTCATGACCATAAATTGACGGGGCAATGGACTTGAATATCTGTGGAATAAAAATACACGAGAAAAGAGATAGCTAAGATAGTCTACAAATCAAAAGGACCAACTGGATTTTAAAATTGACAAAGGCACATGGGCATACTCGTTCTCCAATCCGAGGGTCTTTGGCCAGCTTTTCAATTTCTTCTTTGTCCTCCTGAGTTAGCTTGTAAGCTGAAAAGAGGTCTTGCTTTTTTGTAACATAATTTGCTTCAATCACGGTAGAAAAGACAGGAAACCCATTCTTGGTATTCAGGGACAAGTCAAAGTTGTTAGTGTAGATTCCTGTGACTTCCTGACATTAGAAAGAAACACTGTCTGTCTTTAGCAAGGTCATTGAAAAGTTCAAAAGTATTAAAGTTCAAGAAACACTCGGTAATGCACATGCCAAAATATTCATTTAACTAGGATTAATTATCATTAACAAGCCAAAAAAGTTAAGAGTTTTACTATCTCTTCTCCTGGTCGGGCACAATCAATAAGATCATTCAACAGTATCACTTCCTTGTATCTAGGAAGCCGACCAGCTGGCACAATTCCTGGGCTTTCTTGTAGTGTCAGTTTCTGATAGTTCCTGTATATTGTCTGCAAAAGATTTAGAAAGAAAATTAAGTTGTCGACTTCATAGTTCTCTTTCTATGGAAAATATACAACACAATGTTTACCTGCTCAACATTGACACTGAATGGTCCTTTTGACTGACACTCTGGGCAAGAACCAACCTTGACTTCTGAGTATGAGTTCTGGAAAAAAGGACCCAATACTGCTCCACATTTGTTACAGTCATATTTCACTTGTTGCAATTGGGGAAAGACACCAGATCGCCGGGTAACGACTCCACCAATACGAATCATGGTGTTCAAATGGATCTGCCTGCAAAGAATGACAAATTCAAGTAAGGTTTTGTTTACACTAGATGTAGTCAACCAAAGTAAGCAAGTAAGTGATATTACCTTATATTACGAATCTGATCATAAACTGGTAAGTTGGTAATCCTTACATAGACTTTCTGATGAATTTGCTTATAGTTGGGATGAAGATCAAAGACAACTTTGTTGGCAACTTCTTCCATCACTTCAAGGACGGATTGTGGTGCATCTGCCAGCCAGATGGCAATATTGGGATGGACATATATGAATTGTTTGTAATCAATCTCAAGGCTGCATTTATTAACTGCAGATGAAGGATGAACAATTTAGAGAAGATCTAAATTAATAAAAGATATCTGTTGGAACTCGTAAAACTAAATTCATTCTTGAAAAGGTCAGCAATGACTTGACAGGTTCAGAAACTTTTTTACCTGATACCATCTCATTGATCTGTCGAAGATATTCAAAGTCCCCATGTTCATTTTTTGGGTTTACATATGTGAGTAAGAATTCCTTGAACTTCTTCGCAATGAAACGCCGGACTTCATCTCTAGTTACCCATTCCCTAAGTGTTCCCTGAACCCTGTACATCTCAAACTCCCCTTCATCATTTTCATCATCCTGCATGGAAAACCCAAAGAATTGTAAGAGATATATTCAGGCAATTCAATTATGATTAGCCTTAGTAGAAAGGTGTTACTGTGAAAGTACAAACCTCATAGGGATCATCATCAGTTTGATCAGTCATTGGCACATCCTGGCTGGAGTTTACTCGTTGTGATGCCCCTGGTGAACTTGGCATTGCATCAGTATCATCAAAATTCCTTCTGAAATCAGCTCTAGTCCTTTTTGATGGCCTATAGTTGTCATCATCAGTATCTGTAGCAAAATACCTGAGTGTTAGCTGGTTTGATTTCAGTCTGCTCTGAAGTCATTCTAATTAGTAAAACACATCAGTCCCAAATATTCTAAACAAGTTAAATTCATATATGTCAGCTCAGTTAGGCAAACCTTAAGGGTTTGGGGTTCATGAAAACATAAGTGTTCAGTGTTACAGCCGCTAAATAGTTAGAGGGGGCAATGTCATAACACCTATACACAAATATACAAATTTGAAAACATTCCATGTCTTTCTGAACCAAAAAGTTGGTCAAAGTGTCAAGACTGGGTTAGCGCTGACCCTAAACTTTTTGTAGTGGCAATAGTATAACTTAATTAAAATGTTACAACTAACTCTTGATCTAAATATATGGACTACATAAGGGAGGGGGTCCTTAAACTATCAAATGAGATTGTAAACACATCAGAAAGATTCAATCTAGAGCCACAGGGATAGAATACTAGAAATGATGCAGGAGACATCAAACTAAATAGAAATGTGGGAGTAGAATCATACCAGGATATTAGAAGAAAGAGACAAAGAGTGAGCTAGAGTAATAATAATAAAAGAGGAACAAATAACTAATGAAAGGAAAATTAAGAAATTGCATTTAACATGTAAAATAAACACAATACAAGTATGGAATACAGGTAAATAAGTCTCAAATATCTATCAAATGAAGAAATAACACGATAAAGAGGCAAATAAAAAGCATACCTTGATCATGAAGAAGTTGAGGAAGCTTGCGGTTAGAGACATGTACATCTCTATTGTCAAGTTCCACTTCAGCAGCCTGACGATCTGCCATGATTTGATCCAGATCTCTTTCATCCACCATGGAATCATCCAATCCGAGCGACTCGTACTGGTCAGCCTCACCCATCCTCTGATAGTCACTGTAATTTCAGCAAAACTTTAAAAAATCAACGAATTGAACTGTGGAAATGTCAGAACTGAAATATCAAAATACGAACTCGAGATAATTGTCGTTGAAAAGGTCTTCTCCGTCTTCCTCTTCCATGTCAGCATCTTCTGGATCGTCTCTGATGATATCAGGATCAACAGAGGCTTCATCCTCTTCAGAGTAGTTTTGGCTAGTGTTGAAAGGAAGCTGATCGGTGTTGAATCCTACTGACGTCGGAGAATCAGGAGTAGACGGTGGATTGCCATTTCTATGATCGGAAGATGACGAAGACTCCGCCGGACGGCGGCTACCACTATCGCCGTTGGAATCTTCGCCGGCCATTTTCTCTCTGTTTCTCAATCTACTCGGGCGTTGTGCGTTGTAGGGTTTTGGAGAGGAAAAGAGATTGAGCGGCTGATTTATATATCTCGTTGTTTTGGCGGGAGAATTTGGCGCCAGAAAACTGATGTGGCCCCAAACTTAGTGGGCCGATGTCGGAAGCAGGTCCAATAGGAGAGTTGGTCGACATGGTCCTGGTAGTACTATTGCCCAATAAGAGCCTCTTTGCACATAATTTTTTTTTTTTGAAAAATTTCATATATAGCAAACAAATTTAATGAAATAATGCTCTATAGCTATAGTTTATATAATTATATTTAATGAGTATAGTTTAGTTTGCTATGAAGCATTAATTTTGTAGATAATGTTTTTTTATATATAATTTATACAATATTTTATTTTTTAAATAAATGGATAATGAGCGTTAAATACGTCAACAAAAATTTACATAATCCATTGATTCAAGCTAATCATCCAAATCAAATATTTTTTCAAAAAAGAGTTCTATAGCGATAGAAACATCATAACAACCTCACACGACTGAGGATACGATTAATTAATATTCTTGTATATTTAACGCTAGGTAAGCGTTTCTTTTAAGGAAACTTCATGTTTTGAACGGCAAGAAAGTATACAGTTGATTTGTATAGTATATAATTGAAATTTTGAAAAATGAATTATTTTTGTTTTCTTCATTCTAATGGTTCGCAATTTATTTATTTTATACAAGATTAGAGAAATTGTATATTAACAATTCTACTCTAATTTTTCACTCGAAAAATTGAGTGACACGATTGTATATATGAAGTGTATTGATTCGACAACAAGGGTGTGCTTTAATTTGATTTAAAAAATTGTAATTTTACTATATATATATATAAGTTATACGATTTGTATATTGTTTAATTTATAATATTGTATACATATAAGTAATTGTATAAAATTCTTATACCATGTATATTTGTAAGTAATTGTATAAAATTACTATGTCAATTGTATATGATTCGATAAAAAAGGGTGTGCTTTAATTGATATTTTTTTGTGTGATATAAATGTATATATAATTGTGTAAGGTTTGTATATTGTTTATTTCATACTATTGTATATATGTAGGTATTTGTATAATTTTTTTATATTATGTATATATGTTAGTAATTGTATGAAATGATTGTATATAAATGTATCGTATATAATTACTTTCCATCCCTGGCATTCAAAAGAAAGGGGGGAAAGGGAGAGTGAAAAGCACCCTGTAGATAAAGATCGAGAGCCTGTGGACCGGGGTTGAACCATATCCCCCTTCTGTTAATCGAGAGTGTGACGAAGTGAACCGAAAATATTGTGCTGTAAACTGATGTTGTGAGGCGGAGATAGCTGCACTTCTTGTTCTTTTTTCCCTGGAATGTAAATAGTCCATGATGGAGCTTGAGTAGAAAGTATTAATTTATTTCTCGGGGAAAGGGTCTAGGGTTAATGCCAATCAATAAAAAAATTGAAACAACTTCGTAAATATATCTTAGGGGTATCCTCTTTTTCCGCTTTACTTTCTTTCATCTTCCTAATTCCTCAGGTAAGCTTCATGCCAGTCTGACTAAGGTAAGTGGGGAAGACCTCATTTCATCATTCATATCTATTCGTCTTAGCCCTGCTTCGGCGATTCAATCCAACATTTCATTTCCCCTTGTGCTTGCACGTGACATCGTTTCATTGTAGTTAACTTAGCAAAACACGATGATCCACATATACGATTATACTGAGTTTTAGGCAGTATCTTCTGTCACTTATGCACGATCTTGATTTGTGTATAACATTGCACGTGGGGCATGTGTTGGTGGGTGTTTGCACATGAACTAACTCCCTATGAAAAAATGAAAATAAACAATATTTCAGTTAAGTGCTATCTACAATTATATGCTTTTATACAAATATAAACTATTTGTATAAATAAAATATATTTTAATTTATATTTCCTTTGTACATAACTATAAAATTATATGTATATGAGAATGTGTATATAAATATAATACTTAAATATACAAATACCTCAAGCAATTTTGTATATACTAACTTAATATACAAATCGCTATATACATATACTTCAAGCAATTTGTATATAACTAATAAAATATACAAATATCAATATACAATTGTGATTTAAGCAAAAAATATACATTTACTTCAAGCAATCTTGTATATAACTAACAAAATATACACATATCTATATAAATGTGATTTAAGCAGAAAATATGCATATACTTCATGCAATTTTGTATATAACTAACAAAATATACAAATATATACATACAATTGTGTTTTAAGCAAATACATGATGTTCTTCGAATTTGTCCTTATATGATGAAATAGACACAACCTCCTCAGAATCATTGTCTTTGGCTTTCCTCTTACTTCCTCCAACAATTTTAATGCTGCTTGCCTTGGCATTGCTAATGAATTCCCGAAGTGCAATTGGGTCATGATTTTAATCTCAACTCTTCAATAGATTTTTCTCTAGAATTTATCTAAATTTTGCCATAAATCTGCATTGACTCTAAAATCTTGAGTTAAACCGATTGAAAACGAAGGTCGATTATCAACAACTTTGACATGCAATGGCATACCTCTCGTAATCCTCTTAGATGGAGTAGAATAATCCATTTTGTTTTTGAAAAACTGGCAATTTGATAAGTAATGAGAGAATTTTGAGAAAAATATATCCAAAAACTAACAAGCATAATACATATACAATTATTGAAAAAAAGAAAAAAAAAGAGGTTCACCCACGATTTAGGAGGTTACCTGCAAAAAGTGAAAACATAATTGGAGGGAGAAAGTGAAATTCAAATTTCAAATTGGAAGTGGAAGAGTGATTTTAGGAGAAAAATCGAGAATGAGAATAGGAGAGATAAATTTGATTTTGTATAAAATCATATACAAAAGTCGATGAAGGCTTTGTTGGTCCGGTATACAAAGAGGTGGTGAGTCCCATTATTAATGGAAAAAAAAACTGAAACTGTATTTACTAACAAAATTCAACTATACCCTCATTTGTTAGCATCCTTTAAAAGGTGTAACGTCACGGTGACTCAATAAATAAATAATTTTAAAAAAATTAAAGAATTTTAAAGGGGAAGGGAAATTGTAAAAGGGTTTAAAGGGGGTCGCCACCTAATATTAGGAAAAACTAGAAAACTAATTAATTAATTAGCTTAAAAGAATGTCTACGAAACCAATAGATTTTAGGTAAGAGTTTAAGTTATTCCAAAGGGAAGGTATTAGGCATCCTTCGAAATCCACAATTGTGATCCCGACTGAATTCATTTTTTCAAATTGAGAATGAGATAAAAATAATATACAAGTATTATAAACATGCGATATACACAAATAATAAAACAAAACAATAATATAAGAATGAACCTAAGGTTTTCCTAAAGTTAAAATATACACAGTAATGACATTCGAGTACCTTCCTCAGAAAGTAACTCCGGGTACATGTAAAGAGACTTAGTAAAAGTGTTAATAAAAAATAAATATGAATAAAAATAAATGAATCAAATAATAACTCAAAAATAAAAATCCGTCTTATGAACATGAGAGGCTTTGGAAATCGACGATAATTTCTTCATCAACCAATTTTAACTTACAAATAATGAAAAAGTAAATTAAATTTCCATCTTTTATATTGGGGAGACCTCTAAAACCGAGGAAGAGATTTTTTCATTGGCCTATTAACAACAAAAATAGCTCAAAACTCATTAAAACAAAATATAACTAAACAACTCATACAAATAAACCAAAAATATTTAAAATTATTCGATTGGTAATATCAATCCAAGAAATGGAAACAATTAATAAAATGTTAAAGCAAGAACATCAATATAAGAACAAAAATATATGAAACTAAATTTAAGGGGCAGTGAGTAGCAAGGGACAGTGAGTAGATGAAGCAATGATACGGTCAACTCAACTCCAAAACAAGCAAATTGAAAAATGTAATAGAGCAAAATAGTGCAAATAATGTAAAATTTTAACATGTTGAAAAAGTCAAAAGAATCATCAATTAGACAAGCTTTGAGCAAATTTATACAAAAGCAATTATATTACCACATAAATTAATAAATAAAATAAAGGGAAAATGGTCTGAAAAATACTTTAACTTTGGCCGAAATTGTTGTTACGATACCAAACTTTATAGAGGACCTTTTACCTTTGCACTATTTAATAGAGTATTTTAAAGGTATATATGTGCCCACGTGGACACATAACTATTTATAATGATGCAATTTTTATGATGTCTACGTGGGCACATATATACCTTTAAAATACACTATTAAATAGTGCAGGGGAGTAAAAGGTCATTTCCAAAGTTCGATATTGCTACAACAATTTCGGTCAAAGTTCGAATATATTTCCAGACCTTTTTCCCTAGAATAAAACTATAACCACAACAAAGAAAATCAGTGGAACAATTAATCCACCCAGAAAATAATATCAAATAATTTGCAACCATAAAAATGAGGAGGGATGAAACTAAAAAAGAGAAACAGTGATACATAGGTTATCGAAGAACATTGAATGTGGTCGTTTCTGGCCAACATCGTGCCTAGTTTGTGACTGATTTCATCGGAGTTTGGGATGTAATACTGGAGTTATTAGTTTGCAGGAGATAGTTGTCATTATCCACTGAAGTTGGAGCCACGTCGAAATTTGTCAATTTTCGACCAAATCTGGTTCTTTTGTGAGTTTGCCGGAGCTCGGGTGGTTTCAAGTGTTGTTGCCGAAGCTATTAGTTTCTCCGGCTGTTGTTGGGGGGTTTTTGTTCGCTGGAAAATGGAGTCAAACGTGTCACCCCTCGAGTCTACACCCTAGGCGGGACTGACACTCGAGAACCATTGATGGCCCCAAGCGAACCCTTGGCCTGACTTACTTAACTCAGCGGAAGACTCTAAGAATGATTACATGATCAATTGAACTTACTCGAATAGCTTAATAATATAACTTAGAATGTTAGAAGAATTAAACATTCAACTTGGCCAAAATGGCAACCCAAGTCTTAACATAAGATAAAA